AATTACATTTATTTATGTATGTAATTTGTGTGTATGTGTGTGCATGAACGATGGTACATGTGTGGAGATCTCCTTCTAAGGTATAGGTCACAGATATCCAATTCTGAAGGTAAGGCTTGGTGGCAAGCACCTTTATCTGCTAAGCCTTATTGCTAACCCCTGAATCAACTTTTAAAGTTAAAAAAAATAGTCCTATTCTCAAAAGTCTAGGGCATATGACAATAAGACAGTCTGAACTAAAATATAATTTGACATTATTACTGGAGGGTCCAGCCTCACTAGAAATGTATATACATAAACTTCACAAAACATGTCTACAGGCCAAAATCAGCTTAACAAGTGTACGTTAACATGTAGTTAAGCTGACAATAATTACTATTTCAATTTCTCATATAAACATGGGATTTAGCTTATCTTGAGAAACTGGAAGGTCTGATGTTTTGCTTGGACAGAATACATTCTTCAGACCACTGAAATTCTTCTTTTGATGGATAATCTTATCTGTCAACTTGACTGGATTTATAATCACCATGGAAACTCAATGTGTCTATAAGACTGTTTCCAGAGAGGTTTAATTGAAAAGTGAGGACCAATATTGAATATGGGCAGCAGCATCCCATGGTCTAGGCCTGGACTAAATGAAAAGAAAAGAAAGTGAGCTGAACCTAGCATTCCTCTCTCTCTCTCTCTCTCTCTCTCTCTCTCTCTCTCTCTCTCTCTCTCCCTCCCTCCCGCCCTCCCTCTCTCTCCCTCCCTCTGCTTCCTGATTGCAGACATCATGTGACCAGATGCCTCCAGCCCCTGTCACCTTTCCTTCCCCTTTGTGACCCAGAAGAAATCCTTAAGTTGCTTTTGTGAGATGTTTCATGACAGCAATGAGACAGAGTAACTGTCTCATTGTCAGCATTGTTTATGATCTTAACTTGGTCAGTTTTGTTGACTTACATTTATGCTTCACCAGGTGAAAATTAAAAAGTTGTGATCCTAGGAATATGGAATGATCAAACTCCAAAGAATATATGCAAAGTCCTTCACAATGTGGACAGTTTAGATTCCATCTTTACAGTTCCCCAACAAAGGCTAGTGCCCACACGCGTCTCACTGCTTCAAAAATCCCTTTACTCTCCTTTGTTCCTAAAGGAATTCTTAGTCTCAAGACTTAGCTTCTGTCAGTTCCTCTAAGGAACTTTTTTAATGCCTCCAGCTAGAATATTCGCCTCACCCCAGGTGTTCCCACAGGCCTTAGTTCCTCTATTAGCATTGCAATGGCTTTTTCCTGCCCAATAAGAAAACTTGGTCTCTGAAGAGAACTTCCAACGTCCTTATCCCCAGCTGCTAACAGAGCTCCCGATTTCTACTAGGTTTAACGAACATTTACTAATGACGAAAATATGGGACAAATGTGAAAGAACAAATATTTTTGTATTACGCGGGTATATAATCCACTTGATAATAATGTGAGATGCGATTGCTCAAGGTCAATATTCAGATTTTGAACTGAACGGTATCTTTAGATAAACGTTCCTTAGATATTTTATCCTACCTTTGCTAGGAAAACAAGTCTGATAAAAAGAAAATGTGTTATATTAGTCAGTGTGGAAGATGGGGTTGCCTTACTCTGGTGGGGGTGGCAGTTGTTACTTTATGTCTCCCTGTGGGTTGGTGCCATTCTGGCAATGCTCACCCAGGAAATGGAAGACTTGGGCCACAGAGTGGCCAGACTGGACAGTTCAGCTAGCAGTCTATCAGAGCCAGGGTCACAGGGGGGAGAAGTCCAAGCTGGTGACTGCTCCAGCAGCTTGAGTCCTGGAGTGAAAAGACGCACACCGAGGAAGTACTTGTGGGTGATCACAGGCAGCAGACATTCACACTGTGACTCAGGCTGAAGCCCTTCCTGTTACCTTTGCTCCAGATGTTAAAAAATGGCTCTGACTTTCAAGAACTCCAATTCTGTACAGCTTGAGAGAAATAAGGAAAGTACACAACGATGGAACGAGTGACCTCACTCCCATAACAAATATTGGGGAGTCAAGCTCTGAACCCCAAATTCCTGCCACTGTGGGGGTATCCACTTAGGACATCTGCATAAATGATCTCTAAAGGTTTGACGAGACAACTTAGCAATAAAAATAACTTCTAATCCAGATCCTCAGCCTTGATTTTCTTTTTTGTAAGAACCAATTTTAAAGTCACATTTGTTTATTGTGTGGGTGGGTGGGTGTGGTTCCTGTGTAGGGATCAGGGGGCAACTTTTCAGAATTGGTTCTATTTTCCCACCTTGTGGAACCTGGGGACCAAAGTCAGGTGGGCAGGTTTGGTGGCAAACACTTCTACCCACCATGTCAGCACACAGGCCCAGTTTCCTCTGCTTCAGAGACTGGGCATGCTCAGGTTGCACGGGGTCAGGAGGGAGAAGTCTCTCTCCTTGGCCTCTGTCTTCTTACAGGCTCATGTTTTTTCCCCCACTAAGGCCACTGATGCTTTGGCCTGCTCCTTGTATGTCATGTAGAAGGTCGGACTGTACTAACTCTTTCTTGAAATAATCAACGTGGCTATTGATATTAACTATTATCATCTATCTTCTGGTATGTCTTTCAGCTACTCATGTTACATTTGGATTTGTTAGAAAAATGTAACGGGGGCTATGGAGATGCTGTTAGGGAGGAAGGAAAGGGAATTTGGAATGTTGGGAACTACTTGCCCTCTTGCTTTAAGTCAGGGGAGATTTGCCAATAATCTGAACTACTAGGTGAACGTATGAGTAAATAAAAGACAAAAAAAATATACTTTTTAATCTCAAATTTCTGTTAACCTTCACTTCAGACTTTCACAATGATAACCAGCAGGGACTGAGTGTGTTGGGCTCCATTCCTACCCTGCTGTCCTCAGAGGAGACACTGGTAGAAGTTAGGCCATTCAGCACTTTGGCAAATAAAGGCAAGAGAATTTGATGTCGCCCAGGACTTGTAGGGGAAAGAAAGTGAGCCATGAAGGGAAACTCAACGTCCACTTTGTTTTGCTCAAGGCAATCCCTAGGAGCTATTTCTTTTGCTCCCCAGGGGCTCTTCTGGGGCACAGGGTGTAGCTTCCCAGATGAACGCACCTGTTCATATTTGTTTATATCCTCGTGCCTTTGGAATGGACTCTTGCACAGAATGATGAGCAACTGAAAAACGACTAGAGAATTCCAGGGACTTCAAGGCTAGGCAAGGGGGGGGGGGGCTCTCAGGAAGCAGCCGGCACTGTGCACTGTCCAAGTGCTTGTTACTAAGGTTCAGTTCGCTAGTCACCCACCGTGTCGTGCTTGATTCGCAGGTAACCGACAGAAGAGGACCTGACAGAGCTTTTAGGAAAAACTGAATTCTCAGCCCACAGTCACTTTCCAGGAACTTCCCTGCAAACAGCTCTGCGCTGGAGGGATGGAACGCCTAGCAATCTCAGTCCCGCCGCCCTAACTGCCTTCGCTCCACAGACAATTATTTATGGGGACTTAATGAGAGAGCAAGCCTTATGTGAAAGAACTCAAGAAAGTGCAGCTGCTAAAAACAGACCTAGGCAGTTCTACAGTCCTTATTTTTATAACGGAGCTTCTGCAATTCCTGCCACGAAACTAACAGCTCCACTCCTTGCCAAACACACAAAGAGAAAAGTAAAAACTGTTTTCGTTTTGCAACCCCCTTAACTTTGAGTAAACAGTAGTAATTTTCTGTCGTCATATTCAATGCAAATTTCCCAAAGGCGACTCAACAGGAAACAAAAGACTTGTTAGTTGATAGCTTCTTTAGAACTGGGGGGTGGGAAGGAGTAGCAGGGGACTGGGTTAAAGTTAATAGAGCCCAATTTCTTCTTAGCACGGGTGTCCTGAGCCTCCCCCAGTTTGGCCTTTCAGAGCTCTGTGGATTTTCCCCACGGAAAGGTCCCTGGGCCCTGCCTCCCCTCCTAGGAAATCCTCATTATTGACCCCTTTGCCCCATATTTTTGGTGGATGGTGGCAGAGGTGATTTAGACATCAGTAAGCATCTCGTTCTGGTGGGCTGCATGGACCTACAACTGCTGACACGAAAATGATACTAATACAAACGGATAGGGCGGAGAAAGGGGTCTGCAAGAGGGCTGGCCCCTCATCCTCCGTCCGCTATGGGCTCCTCACTAGGGGTGTAGAGCTCCGGGACTGGGATACCCAGAGAGAAGATGGGAAGAAGCTCATCAGCTTGAAGGGAAAGAGGCCCCCTCTAGGAAAGCTCTTCTTCATCAACACTGAAGAGGAGGGAAAACTTGGCCCGCATGCCCCTACTGGGGAGCGACACACCCCACATAGGCTGGCTTGGGGGGGGGTGCTCAGGGCCTCTCACCTGACTTCCTCCTCTGCTGGCACACACACCAGTGCCCCACTCCGCACCCCCAAAGCCCAGGCAAACAACGGCAAGAGGAAGCAGCGGGCGGCAAGGGTGCGCGGCGGGGGCAGTGCAGGTGAGGGCCCGGGCGGTGGGGCTCCGGGACGCGCCCACACTTACCCTGGCGGCGGGCAGGGCCGCTCTCCCGCAGCGACCCCGCGCCCGGGCGGCACGCAGGGATGTGGCGGCCGCGGTGGCTCGGGCTCGGCTCGGCTCGGGCTCCACGGCACGCTCTCGGAGCCACCGGCCGCCCAGGAACCCGCCGCCAGGGGGAGAAGCGGCCGCAGGCGCGGGGGAGGCAGGCCGGGCCCGGTCGCTCCTGCTGCGGGGTCCCCGAGCCCCCCAAGCTGGAGAGCGACGACTGCGCGGCGCGTCTGACACGCGCGCCCCCCGGGCCGCGGTGGGGGGCTGTCGCGGGGGCGCCCCAATCGCCCGTGCCGCGTTGTACACTGCGGGCTCAGAGCGGCTCCCGCGCCCCCTCCCGCGCCCCGCCCCGCCCCCGCCCCTTCCCCTCCCCCTCGGCCCCGCGCGCTCCCCGCTCGCTGCTCGCCGCGCTCTGCCCCCTTTAAACGCCCACTTCGGATGGGGAGAGGAGACAACTTGAAGTCAAGTTGCCATTAACTTCCGCGGCGGCCGCAGCTCGGCGGCTGGGAGGTGGCAGCAGCTGCAGCCACCGCCCGGGAAGTCCGCCGCCCGGCGCGCCCGCGCGGGGAGCCGACCCGGCCTCGGCCCGCACCGCTGGCCCACGCTGCCCCGGTTCCACGCCTGAGTGAGTCCCGCTCCTTTGCTCCCTGCCGGTGCTGCTCACGCTTTGGGTCTCTTGCTCGGCTCGCCTCCTTTTTCTGCGGATGCGGAACCGATCCAAACTTCTCGGCGGCCCCGGCTGGGGCGGCTTTGCGCCCCTCGCGTGCCGGGGTCTGCTGGCCCTTCTCGCGCGCGCGCCGGCACGCGGGAGGACTGGGCTGGTAAAGTGAGGGCCATGGCCGGGAAGCGTACTTTCTTGGTGTCCTTGCTTCTTTCGCACACCTGCCTGGCAGACTCTGGTTGGATACTTTTGTACAGGTCGTGGGGACGGCCCTCTTTAGAGGAGAAAGGCGGAGTGGGGAAGCCCTGAGAGGGCAAGCGGGGAAAGGGGAGCCACTCTGTAAGCCCTGGTACCTGGAAGGCGGCGAGGTGCCGGGTGGAGTGAAAAGGTCGAGCGCCAGATCTGCAGTTCACTCAGCATCCCATCCCGGCCCATCTCCCCCTATCCTTTCCCGACCAGCACTGCTTGGCTGGTGGCGGGTGGCGGTGAAGAGGGGCCCGGGAAGTTTGTGGCAACTTATCTATCCCGGGAACCACCAGGGCGCTGGGCGCTCAAGTTGGATCCCAGAGTTTGAGAGCCGAAGTAGAGCGCTTATGGAGCCCTCGCCGGCAATCGCGGGTCGGTTCTGGAGGGTGATTCGGGCTTGGGCTTGGGCGGGAGGCCGGGGAACATGCGCGCTGTCTTAGCTGGAATTGTGGCCACACAGGTGCAGCCCTGGGGTCAACTCCTTCTTTCCCGGTGAAGGTTCACATTCAAGAGCTGTGGCCTTTCCCAGAGCTCCTCCACTGCAGAACTCCCCGGGCGACCGAACTGGGGTTGGAGAGTTGGGATGCAAGGGACTGAGGGGGCAGGTGGCAGGTCCGGAGAGCGACCTGTGCCGAGCAAAAGGCGCTAAAGAGATCCCTTCTGGGATGAACACAGAACCCCGAGAGCGGAGAGCAGCATAGAGCTCAGGGTAGGTTTTTGGCCCTGGCCTCCACTAGGACCAGATTTTACTTTACAAGATGTCAACCATGGGGTCATCTCTCTCAAAATGCCCGTTGACAACTTTGACCTCTGCGTCCTTCCAGGGAGAACTTTCTCTGAGGCGTACTGGATTTCCAGGGTTAAGACTTGGATTTCACTTGGCCATAGGGACAGGGAAGACACCTGGCTCCCTGGAGAGAACCTGTCTGCTCGCGATTGATGGGGGGTTCCATGTTTGTTTGTAGCCTTGGAGGCCAGAGCACCCGACTTTCCAAAAAAGACAGAAGAGAGAATTGAGCCTGAGTCAGGGTCTCTCTTTGCTAGGAGTCAGGTTTTGTCCTTCCTTAAGCAGTATCTGGAATTTACAGTGTTTAGGCTGCTGACAGTAGCTCAGCCTCCCAAACTTTACTTAAATTTACACCTTATCCAAAGTGGATTTTCTGAAAGAGTGAGATTTATTCTGTAGTCAAATTCTCCTGCAATAAATAAATAAATAAAGTCAGGCCATACTTTAAGTCCCAGGAAAGCTAGGGTTGAAGTGTTGGTTCTAAAAACCTTTATGAATCTCCCAGGTAGAACTTGTGCTTTGACTTAGCAGCGGCTCTTTATTTCTATGGCTTATTATTTTAGTAGAACAGTAGTAGTGCATACACTGGCTGCTCCAGTCTGCTGGCAAACATTAGCATTCAAGCTTACATTTTTGACAAATGTGCAGACAGGAATAGCATGAATAGGCATCTTAAATATTAACAACCCAAGCATCTGTTGTGAAACAAATTTAATATATTTACTCAGTCTTTCTCACATTGTTAGGAAAGGTTATAATAAGTGCTTAATTTCAACTTAACTTAGCAGAAGTAACTGACGGCATCATTCATACCTCCCAAGCTTTAACACAGTCACCAGGCAGAAATACTTTAATTAACTTGGTTAAGGGCATTGTTAAATAAATACACTTTAAGCAATGTGCATACTATGTAACATGCAACAGTAGCAAAAATATGCATCCTATTTGTGTGCATTTTAAATGACCGCATCTTATAAATATACCAAGAATATTGATTCTTCATCTCTATTTGACACTTATTAGTTCATTTTTTTCTAATGGAAGCAATATTTTAAATGTAGAGTTGTTCAGTCATATGTAATACATAATATGTAAACAGTAGCAATAAAATACAAAGCATTGTTAAATTTGAATATGGCTACATGTAACAAGGTTATGCAAGAGAAATAAAATCACTGCTCAATTTTGTTTTCCTTTCTGAATAATGAATACAGATGATGGATGAAAAAAGAACAAATAGGGATTTCCTCCCTGAAGTAATAGCTTCTTTAAGTGTATGCAAGGCAGGGGTAGGAGAACAATGATAAAGACCTAGAGAACTTCCCAAATCCACATAGCTGGTTCCAGAATCAGTGCATTCCTTGCTTTCCCACAAGCTGAAATATGTAATAAATAATAGTTCTTTGTATGTAAAAGTATTCAAGAGGAATGTCTTTTGTTCACTTGTAAAAAATTAATATATTCTCCGTTGGTTGATAATCTACAAAAGTAGTTCCTTTGTCTCCCGGCATCTTAAACAAGAGCAACAACAAAATGAATATTAGTTTATTCTGCAAAGAAGTCTGTTGCCAGCTATATGAACCTGTGACTGAGTGAGAAGCTGCTGCAGAGTGATGGCTGAGAAACACATTAAACTAGCAAGGTCTGAAAATCTAGGAGAGAATTTCAATTATTTTTTCATGTGACAGGTTGTAGGTTGTAAATTAGGCCTAAAAGGTCAGGTGACAGGCACCTGTTCCTCATTATTGTAAAAATCTTTTGGTTACAAACAGTGCTAAGCTAAACACAACATGGGTATATAGCAGGGGCTCTCTAAAGCACTCTAGCGGCTCCCACCTGCTCTGTGAATTTCCAAACAGGACATACACAGAGAGGCCCTGCTTAGAAACACATCATTTCTTCCATACATGTTATCTTGGATGATTGCAATTAATATTATATTAGTACTTGGAATTGATGAAGTACATAAATGCACATGACTAAATCAATCTTCTAATTATGTCTAGACATTATAGTTGAATGCAAAAATATTCTTTTTTTTTTTAAAAAAAACCCTCATTTTCTTTTGAAAATTATTGACTGGATATCAGAACTGTGTTCACGTTTTACATGGGAGACCTCACCAAGTGCCCTTTTATACTTTTTAGATAAATTCTCATTTAAAATGAGGCCATAAAACATTTTTCTCAGCACCCATCTATAGGAGCGAAAATCAGCTGCTGCATACGGCCATACTTTTGTGCCATACGCAGCATAGGAAGAAAAGCACGTTGTACACAAATGCTGCTAGAGGATCTTCAGACCTAGCTGCTCTCCCTGGAATATTCAGAGTTCTTCCTATTGAAATAAGACACTACAGCTTAATTCCTATAAATAGTTTCCCTTCAGACATTCCAGAGAGCAAACTCTGCTTGTATATGGAGAGACCACACTAGCATAAGGTGACAGAATATTAGAGGTGCCAGTTGCCTTTAATTAGCAGAAGAGGAAGATTTTGTGTTAAGTAAATAGCTCAGGTTATTCAGTTCTCTTATTTAAATATATAAATATATTCTTTATCCTTTTGCCATTAAATAGCTTGTGCTTATTATATGAAGCATTCATTTTTAGTATTTGCTTTTGAAATTGATTTGGTTTTCATATTCCAAAACTCTGTGGTGATTTTTTTTTACAAATTGATTTACATTTTGGCAGAATAGAGTTAAGTTAATTAATAGATCAGGCACGAAAAATAACCCACAGTAGGGTATATTTTCTGGTAAAATGAAAGTTATGTTTCAGCATGATGAGCACCAGGCTTCAGTAATCTGCTCCTCGTGTGCAAGAGCACTTCCTACTTCGAGCTAGCAGGCACCTACTGTTTATTTACGCTGCATTAAACTGACAGCTCAGCAATCAGAGGAAAAATATTACTTACCTTCCTGAAGTAAATACCAGTTTATAGGTTAGTGCACGTATTTATATTCCTGTCACCACTAAATAACGGCTCTGTCTCTATTTTAATATCTACCTGGGCTGTAACCCAGGGATTCACACTCTTCCTGGCTGGGAGGAAGGGTTCCAGAGGAGTTTTTCTTCCCATTCCCTACTGGAAAAACTTTAAAGAAGAATCATTTCATCTTCTCATTTCTGTCCTGTGAACCGAGTTGGGAGAAACGCTGGGCACTTTTTCCTTTGCACTTCACCGCAGCATCTGGCTCCCCGCACGCTGGCAGGCCACTGAACACAGCCATCCTGAGGATCCTGTGCACACATGTGTGCAAGCACAGTCAAGCATGTGTTTACTAAATTAGCTTTCTACAAAGTTCCAAATCGGTCAAACTATCTGATTCCTTAGACCACGCCCGTGGCCCGGGCTCTGCCTTGCCAGTTCTTGGACAGATTGCTGCAGGGTTAAATGGAGCTCTGCAAACAAGCCTATCAAGGGGGCTTCCTGGCTGAATGACTGTTTCTCAGCTCCTCTAAACACACTCTTGCCTTCTTGTTTTTCTTGTGGTTAATCTGCCATCCTCAAAAGAAGGGTTGTAGCCACTTTTATTTTAAAATACTGAATACACTTGTTTCTTTTCCAATTCAAGATCCCTCTCTTTCAGAACCCCCCTGAAACCTCAACATCCTTCTAAAGTTGAATGCCCAAACTCATGATTAACTTGAGAAATTGCTTATTGTTGTTTAAATTGTCTAAGGTGCTCTCGAGCTTACTGCCTGTACCCAGTTGTCAATCTCTAGCCACATACTCCTCTGACATCAGTACGGAATATGGCCTTAATACAGCAAGCATGTAAATCAAATCTGTTACACGATGCTCCTTCCCTCCACTCTCCCAAAGAAAAAGCATCTCCTATGGTAATTTATATATCATTGCTAACTGCTGTTCTCAATGGTGAGTCTATTTAAACTTGATGTCTTCATAGTGTGATCAACACATTAA